TAATTAAGTTATGGATAGGTTACAAATAAGCAATTGTCTTGAAGGCAGCTGTTCAAAATTAGTGGAAGTAGCCAGAATTTCCTCATTTTTTGGAATTATTGGTTTTTTGGTTGTTATAATTTATTTTTCATATCCTATTGTTGTTCAGTTGGTTCAGTCATGTCTGACTCTTCATGACCCCATTTTGGGTTTTCTTGGCAAACATACTGGAGTAGTTTGTCATTCCCTTCTCCAGCTCATTTTTTATAGAGGAAGAACTGAGGCAGACAGTGATTAAGTGACATTCCCAGGGTCACACATCTAATAGGTGTCTGAGGCCAGGTCTGAACTCATGAAGATGAGTCTTTCTGACTCCGGGCCTGTCAGTCTATCCACTGCTGTCACCTATTCTAGTAACACCATTAAACCTGTTTATCCTTGAGAAAGTCTCATAATAACCCTAACCATCTCCTGTCAATGCTGATATGTATACACACACACACACACACACACACACACACACACACACACACACACATATTTTACAGGTGTTATTAATTTATAATGAAGTCTTTAGAGAAGTTTAGCAACTTAATCCCCATTTGGTAATGTCAATGGAATCTCTTTCAACCATGTTCTGGTCTACAGTGATTTTTGGAAAAGTGAGGTTTCACTACATTTCTATCAAAAGGAAGAAATTACATTGTAAGGGAAATTTATATCCAGAAACCAAGGCACCCAACTGCCACTGACTTAGTATTAAATAAGACAGAAAGATTATGGTACTTTAAAGAGATCAGAAGCCTGACAGACATATTTCCTTTTTTATAATGAAACTGGAATAAAAATAAATAAATAAAGCAGGGATAGTGATTGAACCTGTAAGAAATTGCTTCAGTATATAGCATATTTTCATGATTTAAGAAAAGAAGCATGTTATGGTGACTAGGGCATAAATATAGGAGGCAATGTATATAAAGTCATCTTATGATTCTATCATTAATGCTATCTTTTTTCCAGGGTAAAGAATACTGTCCTATCTTAGAGGATATGCTAATTAATTCTTCATAAAATATGATTAAAGAGTGTTAATTTCTTCCAAAGTATTAGTAATAATCATTTTCTCACATATACAAATACTATCACACATAAATTTCTTACATAGAATATACGGCTTATTTCCGGATTGTATATTTAAGTCATCATTCATTTCACAGGATAACAGAATTAGAGCTAGAAGCAACATTGGAAGGGATCAAATCCCACCCCAACATTTTACAGATGAGGAAATTGAGTAAAAGAGTGGTTAAGTGACTTGCACAGGATCACACAGTTAGTGAGTAAATAAAATAGAATTTAACCCAGGCCCTTCTGACTCTAATTCCAGCACTCTATCTACTACTCTACAGCGGACACAGGTTTTCTAGAGATAAAAAAGTTTTAATTTCTCCTTAAATAAACTCTAATGCTTACTTTGCAAACTTGATAATAATCCCAAGTTTAAGTATTTAAAATTTCCAACTAATTACAGCATTTCCTACTTTGTCACTTTATTGAATTAAAAAGAGTTTAATGGAGATATTTCAAAAGAATCAATTTTTAGAATACATATTTTGAAATAATTAAGAAATATATTTCCAATTTATTATTCCAATTTTTTTCCTTTTTAGACTGTGAGCCTATTTCATGTCCCAGCTCTTAGCAAAGTGTCTAGCACAAAGGTAGCATTTAATAAATGTTTATTGACTTTTTGTAGTAAAACTTTAGAAATTAAACATGTCATTGCAGGAAGCAATTGCTTGCTTTTCTCACAAAATTAGTATGTAAAAACAAAATGAAAGGTCAATTAAATTTGTTTTCCTCAACTAAAATTACCCCATATTCAACATACGTATTATACATTTATAACACAGACACACACACACACTCTCTCTCTCTCTCACACACACACAAACTAATAAAAGATAGTAAATTAATGGATAAAAAATCATTTTTATATAACTAAGTATATGTCCATAAAATGTAACATGTAACATATACTAATTATAAATGAATATTTGCTTTAAAATAAGAGAATATTTTATGTTCTAATTCAAAATCTTCAAATATTTGGTCATAGCTATACATTTTTTCATAATGGTTTCTTTATACAAGCCACTAGATTTCAAACAGCCCCAACTTCACAAGTATATTTTAAAAGCATAATTTACCTTGAAAATGCACTCTGAGTAACAGTCATTTATTTTAAAATTCATTCTCAGTAAAGTGGCTGTTTATTTGGTTTTTTCTTTTTTTTTTTTAATGATCCAAATCTACAATGAAATGATGAAATCTAAAAACAAGTGTTCTTGTCAGAAGACAGGAAGCAGTTTTTCCCCCCTCCTTAAGGAAAACAAAGGATTCCTGAAAGCCTTGCCCTGATTTATTTCTCCAATTTGAAATAACCTTAGGAGTAGCGGAACTGCTACTGGCATGGTAGTATTTCTAACAGTCAATAAATCTAAAATATTATGTGTGAATATTGGAATGAAGCCATTAAGAAGATTACAGCATGCAACACAGCAGAGGGTCCACAGGAAAAAAGGACTGGTAATTCAGGACAACTGTGACCACTGACCTTTGAACAGTCAAGACCACTGGTCAATCTGACACAATAATAGAGTTCACATGCATAGAAAGTCATCTACCCTGTAAGTATTATTTAAATGCTTTGGTGAATGATTTAAAAAGGACCATTTTAAATCTCAAGTAATTTATTATACATCAGACAATACCAATAATACTCATTTTCAGGTTTTTCTTTTCATTCATTAACAGGAAAATCTACTAATATCTTCTCATATTTTTATTAGATTAACACATATGATTACTTTTAAATATTTTTCCATTATACAAATCAAGATGCAATGCTTTTTATCACATATTCTCTAAGTAGTTGGGGAATACTGATGAAAATTTTAAATTTACGGGGGTCACTCCCACAATTGCCTGGATTGTTTTCAGGACCAAGTGATAAGGTTTCCTTCAACTTTAGTAGATTGTTCTAATTTCACATTATAGTTTTTGCTATTTATGTAATCTTCAAGAGACATTTCTATAAGTTTGTGGGCCTTGCCTCTAAGAATCTAAATGATTTATATTTTCACTTTTTTTGTGGTATGGCTTTTGACCCAACTTTATGATATCTGAATTCTCCTTATTAAGACTTTTATGATATTTAAACAAAATCTCTTATCAATAAAACATTAGCTATCATTGTATATAATCAGAGCTTTATATTTTTGTGGTGTTTCAGTCCTATATATGTTTACATGAGTGCTTTTAACAAACAAGTTAGTTACATCAAGAATGAAGTTTCTCTTCTTTATAACTTAGTAGGAAAGACTATCAAAACATAATTCTCAAAGGAAATATCATCTATCAATAAAGTGACTACAATAATTTTAATACTAAACATAGAAAAACTGAACTTCATTTTTTACAAAGCACCCATATTTTCTCCTGAGGGCATTACAATGGGAAATGTATACCCATGCAGAATATATTCCTAAAGCTGAGATTGAATTTTCACTCATTATTTTCTCCATTCAAATAAGGCTACTTTGATGGAGTTCTAATGAAAAGCTGTAATCATTTCTAGCAGCTTATGCAAAATTTTTATAATGAGCAAGTCTAGATATTAGAAACTAAAAAGATAATTTCATTGGTTTAGATTTTGATAAAATCAACATGAATTTTACTGCAGTGCAATGAACTGATTTAGTTTTCATTTATTGCAAAGTCAGCTAACATTAACATGGTAGTAATTTATTAGTAACTTAGATTTGACTTTGAATATTTCACTCCCTATTAAGCTAGGGGAATAATAATTATCAGTATTCTAGTATGGGTCCAAAATCTTAAAATTCATCTAGTTAAGCTCCTTTAGTGTATTTCAAAGCATTTTTTCTATTATATTACATTTTAAAATGCTCCCAAACCATTATAAAACACCAATTTTACATACTCTTGAAAAATATGAAGTTTTATACAAATGCAATGTATTATTATATTCTATTATTCCATTCTAAGACAAGCAACCCAACACACATAAATATAGAAGCAATGCCAACATACTTTTCAGTTCCATGCTAGGGAAGAGAAAAGTGAAATGCACTTTTAGAGACTATTTAACATGAAATACAGAATATGTTCCATTATGAGCCTCAGACAAAAAAACCTCTGAAAGATCAAAGACCAGAAAAAAACTGGCACTTAATTTATCAGCCTTTACAGACAAAAGACAGTTTTCGTCATTTCAAAAGGATCAGATGTCTTTTATGACAAACTGGGTTTGCAGTTTAATTTACAAATAGAATTCTAAGTAAGCAGTCTTTGCTCTTCCAAAGTATATGACAAACAGTGTAGGTTTTCATTCATGCAGCCCTCAGCTGGATAGAAAAGATTAAAATAAAACTGAAATAATTTAGAGAAAACAAATAAATGTTTCAGAAAGTTGAGAGAGATCAAAGCCAGAATTTTCTGACCCCAACTGTACAAGCATTTCTTATTATATTGACCAGTGCCATCAGATCATTAATTAAAAGGAAAAGCACTGGCAGGTGGCAGGGAAGCAAAAGCCGATAATTGGCCCCCTTCTTCTTCTTGCCTTCAAAAACTCTCTCGTTCTTTTGCAAGACATGCCACTAGGCAGACAGAAATGCCTACTTTGTAATATAATGATTAAGATGAGATGAAGAGACTTACGTCTAAAGCAGCTATGCCTAATGAATGCAGCTAGCTTTGTAATTATGATCTTGCTTTTAAAATAAGTAATGTGATGTTCCATTCAATGTTTCCTCAACTGTCAAAAAGGGAAAATATTTTAAATATGGACTTTAAGACTGATGCTTTTGCCTTTACCCGACTCATAATAATTTTGCTTTTATATCAGGTACAAAAAAGGGCAAAAATAACTACTAATAATTCAAAGACCCTGACGAAAGCATACACACCCTTTATGATATAGCCTTCATACTTACCACTTCACTTGGTAGGTTGTTCAGGTCATTAAATGGTGTTTCCAAAGTGTTTGTGTCAACATTTAACATAACCACATCCTCCAATGATTTATTTTTCACTCTCTGTTCAAAAATCACATACAACTATGAATAAATACATTTTCTTTTACTTGGCACAATCTGAATCTGGAAACAGAGATGATCATTATTAAATTATGTATCAAGGTAATAAGATTAGTGGAACTTGATCATATTTTTTAAAACTCCTAAAAGTCTTCCTTTCCACCTAAGAAACCTTTAAAAATTATGAATTTTCAAGAATTATGTTTTAAGATTAATTTATGCATTTAATAAAATGATCTGGTTTGAGGACTACTATACTATTTTGAACTAGCAGTAGTTAAATTAGAAATTATAATACAGCTTTATAAAACAGATATGCATAAATCATATTGCAAAAACATCAAGGACTTTAAAGTTTAATGCAAAAGTATAACACCAGCATTTCTTTCCCCTTACAAATAACTGAATGAAAATGTGAAACAAGAATTCTTAAAATGGGCCTATGAATTTTTTCAAGCTGATAACTGTATTTTAATAGAATTGCTTTCCTTTATAATCATATTTATTTTATGCATTTAAAAACATTAGGTATCTATAGCTTTCACTAGAATGCCAAAGAGTACTCATGTATGTGTACACACATATTGAGAACTCATAATCTAGGGAAATTTACAAAAACATAACTGAATTGAAAATTAAAACCATCACAGGACTTTAAGAAATATGTAAATAAGAGTAATACTTAGGTAAGAGTAATATCAAGCAGCTAAAGTTGTAAATATTGATATATATATATATATATATACATATATATATGTGTGTGTGTGTGTGTATATATATATATTATACATATATATATATGTCATACTATAAACTTCTACATAAAACAGTAATTGCTACAATCATGGGTACTGTAATTTGGGAGGACAATTTGAAAATCTGGAAATATTTGCTATTTTTTTCTTCCCTTGAATGCACTGCATTAATACATTCCCCCCCAAAAAAAATGCTCAATAATCCACAAATTAATAGATGTACACAGTGATTAGGAAAGTATCTTGAAGATGAGGAATAAAACAGCAGAAAGAGGGGTATGGGAACAGAAATGTACATAAACCTCATGGTTAGCAATAATATTGATGAGTGTTGCAATAAAATATTTTTGACATGGGTTTATAAGAATTGACCTTTGGAGAAGAAGATTCAAAGAAATAATAAAGTGACTTAGTCACTTTTGTTAAAATGGTCCAACCAATTGAGCCTTTGGGCAAAAACCTTAATTCACAAGATCATATGCTCCTTTTTCCTCCCTTACTATAAGTAAAGTTAATACTATATTTTCCTACTAAACTAAATTGTGCTGTCACCTCTGTTAAAATTGTAGCAATGCACTTTTTGTGCATCTGAATAGTGCTATTATGCTTTTTCAGCATTTCTAAGTATAAACAGCCCTTAGTCAACTGGAAATCTTACATGATATTTTCCCAAGACACTATGATAAAACTGTTAACGTTATTAATTTATTAAATGTTTCATACAATAAACTGATTGGACCAATTAAAAAAGTTAAGCCAAGAACAAATCTCCCAAAGTAAAAATGCTAAGTTTATCTTAAAATGTATGGTTCAACCTTTTGCACCAAGTCATGACTGGCCAAATTTTTTGGGTAAAAGCTAAAATGTACTTGCTGACATTCTCCTACCACACTCTCAACACATTTTTTAAAAAGTCTCTTTAACAGAACAATATCATGAAAATTAAGATACTATTCTCTCTTGGAGCATCAGTCAATAAAGAAGTAAAACTTTTGGTAGCAATGCTAAGATTTAAAAGTCTACAAAAAAAGTTAGTCCCTTCGCTTTCTTGGTAAAGGGTAAATAAAATAAATATCTTAGTAAGAACATAATTAGCAGTATTTTGATATGTCCAAATATAATTCTTAAAGATAATAAAATTATTAGTATTTAAAAATTTATCTAAGAAGAAAACATTAATTTAATTTTTAACATTAGTCTGCTTAAAATATAATTTAAAATGTCTTATGAAATTTTGAGTACTTTTTAAAAAGTTTTAAATTGGGAATTAGAGGAAGTATATAGAAATGGTTAACTGAAGAGTATTAAATGAATCAAACAATTCTGAAAAAAATGAAAATGGTATAAAGAAATGGAAAATGCAAGGAAGTAGATAACATTCTTTAGAATTTTATTTGACTAGTTCCTATAAGCTACTAAGGGTAGCTGTCAAATGAAATTGAAAGACTCACAAATGGAAACAAAAGTACAAGATATTTTAGGTTAAGGTAAAGGAATTTAAAGAAAATAGAGATAAATATGATTTTGGGTTTCTTTTTACAACGTTTTGGTCTAAAACATTTTTGGTATTTGTATTTTACCAAATTTTATCCACAATTACTCTTACTATCTTTAAAAGGAAATGGGAACACAGAACCTTTTGACATAAAGCTCTCATATAGTGAAGAAAACAAATGAATTTACATGAGTAAGAGAAGAAAAAGTGACCTTCTGATACAAGGCATAGAAAAGAAATGGTTATCTTCTTTATAACTAATGAACGAATTTTATATTAGGAAAGTAAGTAAAAGAATATATTTTAGATGAGGGAACCTCAAGTACTGAAGTAGAAAGCTTTTTTCACACAAAATCAAAAGCTTAATGCTTCCTTAAAGTGTTGCTGTAAACGTGTCTCTGCAAACATGCCTTAATGGCAATAAACAACACAAGGGCAACAGTCACCTGTCCTTCTGAAAACAGGCCAACCTTCCCTTTATGGTTGCTTGTTCATTATTGTGGAATGAGAAAGATAAAACTACACCTTTGTAGCACCGGCTTGCATCCTGCCAATCTCTCCAATGTCTCTTGGAATTTGCTGTTTCCCCTAGTCTTGTTTTTAGAGGCAAAGCAAATACACAAAGCTTATGTTTTATTTTTACTTTGGAAGCAAATTTGTATCAACATGTAAAACCACACTGTCTTCCTTTCCTCATAATTACATATAAAATAATCAAAGGAAAGATTTATAAAGTGCTACATTAATTTCATGTTTCTGTGGGTAACTAAGTTTAGATGTCTCTAGAGAAATGGTGAGATAAGTTTGAGTTGATTTGAGGAAAGAAGAAAGCATATGATAAGAGAATGATTTTCTTCTCCTTCAAAAAAAATAGGCTATAATTGCAGCCAAAAGCAAGGAAATATACCAAGCTAAGGAATATTGTATTTGTAAGCAGCAATATCTATAATTCAATTTCAAATACAATTCATTCAGTTTTTATGTTTTTATACTTTTGTATTGTTCTAAGGGAAATGTTAGGCATATCCCATAATGTGACAAATAAAATGTGAAGACTTTATTTTAAGATCAGCATGGTAAAAAGCATATTATCTTTCAGGACATAATACCATTATATCAATTAAGAAGTTAATGTCACATAAGTGGCCAAACAAAATTCTTGAATCTAAAAATGCACCTTCAGTAACTCTTTATCCATATCACAACAAAATAAGTTTACATTTTGTACAAGGCTAAACTAATGCTGCACAAGATTCTGAATCATGAGTCAGTTATTTCTTGAAACAATCTTTAAAAAATGCATTAGAGTTCACTCCTACCTATTTATGTTTTGATTTATAAAATTTTTCTTGACACATTCACAAGTTGCATGATTATTTTTAAAATAATCAATATAAATAAAAAATTGGAGCAGTAAGATTTTAAGCTTTATAAAAAGTTTATTACTTTATATTAAATTGGAGAAAGGTGATAATTATGTTAATATGTTAAATAATACATGAACTATTTCTATAAAATCAGTGCAGCAACCTAAGAAAGTAAAGCTCCAGATTTGGAATAAGGAAGACCTGAGTTCAAATTCTGCCTCAGAAACTTACCAGCTGTGTGACTCTGCCCACATCACTTAACCACTCTAAGACTCAGTTGCCTTACCTGTAAAATGGGGCTAATACTAACACCTATCTCTCAGGGTTGTTATGAGGCTCAAATGAGATAACATGTATAAAACACTTTATACAACTTAAGTATGTGTATGTAGAGACACACATACAAATACATGTTGTATGTATGTATATATACAGGCAGTTAGGTGGCCCAGTGAGTAGAATGCTAGGCCTGGAGTCAGGAAGACTCATCTTCGTGAGTTCAAATCTGGCCTCAGACATGAGCTGTATGACTGTGGCCAAGTCACTTAACTCTATTTGCCTCCGTTTCATCATCTTTTAAAATGAGCTGGATAAAGTAATGGCAAAGTACTCCAGTAACTCTGCCAAGAAAACCCCAAATGGGGTCACACAATTGGTCATAACTGAATAATAAAAATATATACATACGTATTCCAGCTCTTATTAAGATAATATCTATTAAAAATAAATTTCTAAATTATAACATACATTTCAGGCCTTGCATTATATCCCAAATGGAAAAAAAAATAACAAAAAGACCTACATTGCACAAGAACTGAGCTAGCAGCAAATTTCACAAGCCAGGCCTTCTACTGCAAAAACTGCCAAATGAAACTATGGAATAAGCAAGAAGAATTTCTGGATTCATCTAAATTGAGTAACGGGATGTATAAGCAGAGAATATGAAGCTAAAAGTAAACTGAAATTACAATAGGTTAAATTAATTTTTAAAGTTGAATAGAACTGTGCAAATAGGCCATTTGGAGAAGGATTTGATTTGCAAGGTATTATTTTTTATAACACTTGATGACCTCCATGGGATATATCTTAGGTTCTGGAATCACAAACAGAATAAAAGAACATAGAGATAAAGTTCTCTCTTCCCTCCCTCCCTTACGATGCTAATCTTGAAAGAAGTCACTTTAAGTCTCAGAGATAAAGTCGTATGTTTCACTACCTAGTTGACTCAAATTGTCAGTTGTCAATTGTACCTTCTTTGTGTTAAGAAATATGATACAGAATTATAAACCCTCTCCTACTCCCAAAATGCTTCACATTAAGACAATAGGAAAAGTCATGACATTTAAATAACAAGGTTGTATAATAAAACAATAGAGCAGCTAGGTGGCACAGGGGATAGAGTGCCAGGCCTGCAGTTAGGAAGACTCATCTTTCTAAGTTCAAATTTCCTCTCAGATCCTTACTAGCTGTGTGACCCTAGGCAAATCACCTAACCTTGTTTGCCCCAGTTTCTTCATCTATAAAATGAGCTGGAGAAGAAAATGGCAAACCATTCCAGCCAAGAACACCCTAAATGGGGTCACAAAGAGTTGGACATGACTGAAAAACAACTGAACAACAACATAATAAAACAAAATATAATAAAATGCATATTGAAAAAGTAAACTTCTAAAAAGCATTACATTACAGGGCACAAAGTAAGAAATGTATTGAATATGCTATTAAGGCATAGGTCTGCGTGTGTCTTACTTGGGAAAATCAATTCAAAAATAAGTTATAAAAGATATCAAGTCATTTTTAAGAAACAATATAAACATAAAAATTACTTTATTAAAGATGAAAAATTTTAAATTTCAAATCATAACTTTTATACAGGATATTTTAATATTTATGTGCTTCATATCTTGAAAAATAGTCACTGTCATTATGTTAAATATCTTAGTACTTGAACAACATCACAAAAATTCCTATGCAAACACTCCAAATACAGGAGCTGAAATTATTTCAAAACTAAATGATTTTTTTCAAGAAAATAAATCATTATGACTATGATTTCAGGATGTAGTTTAAGTCTGAAAAAAATACTTACCTCTATGAGGCTGGAGTGAACTCCAATCAGGTATGGCATTGGGGCACTAAATTGAAATATACACATATATACTATATTAAAACTCAAACTATAGTATAAGTAAACTAAGAAACTGTAGAAACATTTATTAAAATGTCCTTTTATGTTTCACATACACTCAAAATCATCTTAAAATGTCAATAAAACAAAGTCAAGCTCTATTAACTAAAATTCATTAAACCAAGGTTTTTAGGAAACACATGAAGGAAGAGCAAGCATTCCATTGTGAACATTACATTTTTAAAAACTGAAAATTTTACCTGAAAATATCATCACTGGGCTATAACTTGAGTTGAATTATTTTCTATAAAATGTCCATTATCATAGCCTAAGAATATTTTTCTGTACAATGCACATTATCATAGCCCAATTAACTGACAATTAAAATTTTCTTTTTTTTACTGTATTTTCTATTAAATTTAATTCTAATTCCATAGATATGACTGTATCTTTAAAACATGCATATTTCTCTTCCCACCACTTCCCCTGAAGTACTTTGTAAACTAGAAAGTTCTACACAAATGTAAAGTATGATTAATAAGTGTTTACTCTTATTAATGATGGTGTGGGTACATTATGACCTGCCCTGATAGAGGAAGTTATCTGCTCCAATAAGATACAGAACCACTGTCTTATTTTAATTGTTACCATCGCTTCCTATCTGTTGTCATTTTTTCATCCATGCTACTATAGTATCTCTCTTCCTTCTAACTTTTAAATTATTTTCTCTCAGGTTTTCTTTTGATATCAATGTCATTTTGGGGGTGAAAAATTATTTAGCTATTTTTAAAAATGCTTGAAATAATCATGCTAGTGGGTATGAGCTTAGTCTTAAATTAAATATAAAGCACCAATATTTAATATCAAGTACAAATATGAAACTTTCCCCCAGGTATTAATAATCAATTTATTAATTAAGATGGCCAATAATCAATAAATTGATGGTCATTGGTTTCTCTCTATAACCAAAAATGCCAAGGGAGACTCTGAAACACTTTAAATTGGGTGTGTTCCTTTTGATAAGGAACTCCCCTGACAATTGAAACTTGATCCTGATTGTTGAACATTTAATGAGGAGGTGAGCTAGGAAATCTTCAGTTCCTTCCACTGAGAAAGTGGCTTGATCATGAGACCCAGAAGCCTCAAGTCATCTGGGCAGGGGAAGCCACTCTGGCTAAGTTTTCTTCTTCATGAGCTTAATTAAGATTGCCCTAAACTCTAATAGAGAGGCTCAAAGACAAAAATGAATCTTTTAACTTTACATTTTAAAAACAATACCTTATACACACTATATAGTATGCTTATTTGAGAATGGATAGGTTTTTACACATGGACTGTAACAAATGCAAAGAATTCTTATTTACAAAGTAATTATTGACAAGTATATTTCAAAGAATTCTTAAATAATGTTTAGTGTAAACCTTCATTCAAAATGGGGTGGGGGAGTGAAGTTTTCCTTTTCTCAAACAATTTACAGAATCATTCCTAAAATAATTTTCATTGTTAAAATATAGTAGCTTTCCAAACTCTATCAAGCCTGTTTTCTGCAGATCTTTACCCCATGTTGCAACTGCTAGAACCTTTTTTTCTTAGATTATTTTCCAACTACTCAGTATGTGTCTTGTACATATCTACTATTTGTAAGTTGTCTCTCCCATTTGAACCTTATGAGGGCAAGGACTGTTTTTTGCCTTTCCTTATATTCCCTGTGCTTAGCATGGTACCCATCACATTACTAAGCTCTTAATAGATGCTTGTTGACCAAGCAATCTAAAGAAAACAAGCTTTGGGAAAGTGAACTCAACCCTCTAACCCATGTGTTAGAGTCAACAAAATTGGAAATTTTTAATACTGAATAAATCTCTAAATTGTCTTGACCTAGCTTATCTTTGCTTTTTCCCTTTAATTTTCATGAAAAAGATCATTTGGCACAGATAAGTGTCGAGGATGTTTTCCTTGGTTAAAATATACCCCTGAAAGTTGAGGGCTTCTTCTTCACAGAAACAGGGGACCAAGGGTGTAGAATGCCATATATAATGTTAAATATTTTCAACATGTTATTTTCTAGAAGTTTCCCTTCCCTCTTTTTTAAGTCTCTGTTATAAGGGATTGCTTTGCTGGCAGGGAAAAAGAAAGGGATAGATTGAGAAGTGAAAATGATAAAAAATAAATTATCTTACAATTTTCAAAAAAAATGAAAGCAAACTGAAGAACTCCATGTTGTCATTGACATTCTTGACAGTGCCCTATATGGAATACTCTGAATCCAGCAGGGAATAATATGTATGAATATGTATCAATCTTCTTTTGCTTTAAATAAAAATAACTGGTAATCTTTCTAGCCTTAGTTCTCAAATTAATATTGTATCTGGAATTATACAGGAAAGGGGATAAGGTATAAAAGATGAGCATTTTTCACTTTCTGGGACCACATTTAGACAATTTCCACAAAGTAAGATAGACAAAATTCCATGATCTTCAGTGACTCAGGACACTGCTACTTCCTCCTCACTGCTTAGAAAAAATATGAAGATGAAAAATATACATTACCCTACATATCACCATGAAAGTGCCTAATTTCCCTGTGAGATGGAAAACCTCACCAAACAAATACTGTCAATATTATTATAATACTTTCTGTGCATTTTGTCTAAATATCTTTCATATCCTTCTAGGAGAATGTAATCTCCTGAGGGCAGAGACTGTTTTGTCTTCATCTTTTTATCCCAGGTGTCTAGGCGTACTGTTATAAACACCTAATGAATGTTGAGTTGAATCTGCTGACACAGGAAACTCTCATTGTCCAATTTAAGAGGGATGAAACATCACTGAAAACTGAAATGAGCTGACAAAAAATTAATCAATAATAATAATAACAATGTAACATTTAATTAACTCTAATATTAGTTTTAGACAGCTAGGTGGCACAGTGGATAGAGTGTCAGGTCTGGAGTCAAAAAAGACTCATTTCCTGAGTTCGAATCTGGCCTCAGACACTTACTAGCTGTGTAACCCTGGGCAAATCATTTAACCCTGTTTGCCTCAGTTCTTCATCTGTAAAATAAGCTGGAGAAGGAAATGGTAAGCCACTCTAGTTTCTTTGTCAAAAAATCCCAAATGGGGTCACAAAGAATTGGACATGACTGAACAATGACTAAGTGACAAATGTCAGTTTATAAAGTGCTTTCTGCACACAAACCCTATGAATATAACAGCATAAAAAACAATATTAAGCACCTTCTATGCCAAGGACTATGCTAAATATTAGGGATATAATGCAAGAGTCACTATCAACCATGAAAGACTTTTTATCCTACAAATAGCATCATTTCCATATTACATATGACAATCTTGGGCTTAGGTCAAATGACTTGCCCAAAGTCATGAAGACTAGGCAATATCAGGACTCAGAAACATTGTAAGCACATATAAGCACATTGACTATAAGCACAGTGATTTTTTTTCATTATGGCCTCCGAGGTTGAAGAAATGTTAAAAATATAATATTTGTATATATACTCTCTTAATTACTTAGTGATTTCAAATGCAATAAGCAGAAACATTGCAGGTTAAATATCCAAATAATATGCCATGTAAGGAGCTCTAAAACTCTACAATTCTGGTTCTAGCAACTAGTAACTAAAAACCATCGATACTAATAGTCTAATCCCATTACCCTTGTGGAAATTCAAATGGCTTAATTTTATATAAATTATACAGTAATGGAAAGAAAACTAGTCACAGAGCCAAAAGGTCTGGGTTCAAGCCCCTGTTCCAGTTTTTAGTGACCCTGGGAAGTTATTTAACTTCTGAGTCTCAATTTTTTCATCACTAAAATACAGATTGGTAACATGCATACTACTCAAGTCATAGAATTGTTGTGAGACAATGCATGTCAAAACACTTTGTGAATTGTAAAACACTACATAAATGAGGTTTCTCATGCAAGTGCCAGTGTAGGAATATATTCACTTCCTCTTATAGCATTCAGCCTAGTGATGCCCGCAGTACAGAAATACTACTCATTTATTAGCTTTGTTTTGCAAGTCACATATCCTATTGACATCTTTGAGATATAAACAACTACAACTGGATTTTATAACGTATTTATCCCTGGTTGCACTGTCCAGTCCAATAAATATTAAGTGCCTATTATTGAGGTACATTAATAAAAAGAAAGACAATATTACTTAGCAAAATTTTTATTTTAAGAAACTGAACTTCATTAGAAACAAATATGTTTCTTTTGAAAGTATTAACAATAAAGGCTGAGGGATTGGCTAATTAAAAAAAAATCTACAGAGACCTCCCGAATAGGTCATAAGCCCTGAAAACTAAACCTGGTAAAGGAAAATATCATGAAAACATCAATAATAATATTACTGGGTGCCTCTACATGTTTTTTCTCACTAATTTCTCACAAAATTCAAAACATATGCATATTAGTACTATAACCATAATTAATCTAGAGCATCATTTTCTGAAATAATTACCATGTTTTGCAGAACATAAAGTTAATTGAAAAATAATTATTTCTTTCTCATGAAGAGGATTGTGTACCTCCTAATGTGAAATTGACTAAATCACATAAAAAGTAATTTTGCAACCCTAACTGGAATTTCCTAATTAGATTATAGTGTTAATAAGTCAGAAGGATATCCTTGGTAAAACAGATGCCTTATCATCAATATGCAAAACTGTCCTGCACTTTTCTTTCAATGAAGTTATTTGCCAAGATTGGATACAGAAGGCATTATGTGACTGCTTTTACAGGTTTTTTGGTAGCAATTAATCTTTATTCAAATATAATTACTATGTGAACAGCAAAATTGGGTGATGGGTATATTTCATTTTTAAGGAAGATGGATTCTTACAAGCAGACCACCCAGGTAGAATACAATCCCGTTAACAGTCTATTTTTTGGTGTGATTTATAACATAATTTATATATTTCTTTAAACACTATGCTCTGAATAATAGAGACTAGTTTATCTTCCTGCAGATGGAGAGCAACCAGTTGGATGGCCATAGTATAGTCCAAACAGAATCATGTGGAGAATAGAATAGAAAACTATTATCTCTTCAAGAATAAGAAGTTGAGATATATGGTCACTTTTCTAATTTCCTAGAATCACATCACCTCAGAAAAGGAGGTAGCCTTTGGTAAGGCAAAAGTGTCTAGAAAATATCTCAAACCATTCAGTAGTTTACAATACTGTCATCCTAAAAGAATTTGTCTTTGGAAGAAGGGTGCTGGTTGTATTGCTCCTACACCTGTAGGGCAAACAATTTTGTCCTGATACACTAAGGAGATGGCTACTAGGAATAGCCTAAAGTTGGCACCACGATTTTATATGCTAATACCTCAGAGGTCTGAGGAAAAGATCTTATTACTTAGGAGTATAATTCTCCTAATTGCAGGAGGGTTCTGACCAAATTAGTATAATCAGAAAGAATACTTATGCTGCTACAATGAACTTTTTTAGTGTTGTAACAGGAAACTACAAATAAGAGAAACTTAGGCAATAAAGTTCTGAGCAGGGTTGATTTATTAGCAAAGGCAGCAATTGCCAATAAATGGGGTCCAAGACTCCTCAGTAACCAAGCACATATCTGATAGTCAAGACAGTTCTTTTATAGTCACAGACAGAAACTCAAAAATAGTGACACCAACCTGGTGTAACAGAAGTGTATCTCACCTCTGATTGGCCCATGCCAAGGTTACTAACCACAAGTTACATCAGTTTATCACAAGGCAGACTAACATCATCTGGAAAATCCAGCAATTGAAAATTTCTTCGAAAGAAAAGGGACCTGGCCATTTATATGTTACTGATTTTTGATAGATTGAAATTTTGTGGTTAGAAAGTCTCCTGAGAGAAGAGAAAACAATGGGTGGAGGGTTGCCTGTGTCACAAGCAGGGAATTAACAGCTGTAGGCTTAAGGAGTTCTGAAGGAATTCAAGTTCATATACTAAGAGATAGATATAGATATAGCTATATAGATATATAAAACAGCTCAATCCTTAATATATAGTAAATTAAGGCTTAATGAAATAATATAAAATGAATATTAATTTTCAATTTTATATTTGTGAGTTTCTGAAATGGGTATATGAAAAACAATTTTCATGTCCTCAAGAGGAGTAGGTCATGGATATATAATATATGTGTGGTATAAAAGGGTCCTTCCCTCTTTATTTGCTTCAATAAAGCACAAACATACTCAAGAGTAAAAAAAAGAGAAAGAATTAGGCTTTACTCAAGAAATTTTTTAATAAATCAATAAGCATTTATTAAGTATCTATTATGTGTCATGAACACTGTTCATCTAAAAAAAATCAAAGAATATATCTGAAAATACATTTTCACTTAATCTTCACAATCACACTGTGAAGTAGGTGCAAGTAGTATGCCTCCATGACCCTACTTTACTAATTAGGAAACTCTGCCTCAGAGAGGTTAACCTACCTATGGTTATGAGGCCTAATTTGGCCTATGTCTCTCCTGACTCCAAGTTTAGCACTTTTTCTCTGTAGCACACTACCTCTATCTACCTTCCTATAAAAAGAAGTAAGCCAAGAACATTGAGCCTCACTCTCAGGTGAGCTGGTCACAAGGAGGGAAGACATGCACATTTTGTGCACCAGCACAAAGGCACACACACACAGAGTTGGATACATAAATATATTTCTTCTCCAAGGGAAATAAGAGGGAAAGGGGAAAAGAGGGGAATGGAGAATTAGAGGGAGATTAAGGGAGAGATGAGTCATAAGCAAAACAAACTTTAAGGATGTAACAATACACACAAAATAAAAATATATTTATAGTTGTTTTTGAGGTGACAAAGAATGGGAATCTGAGGGGTGCCCAGAAACTGGGAAATAGATGACCAAGTCATGGTACATAAATGAGATGGAACACTATTGTTCTGAATTCTTAAGAGTCATGACCCACTAGGATTCCAGAGGACACATGATGGAACATGCCATCTACCTCCTGATAGACGGGAAGGACTCAGAGTGCAGAATGAGAAAAATTTTTTGAACATGGAGAAATTTATTTGATTGACTGTATATATTTGTAATATATTTTGTGTTTCTTGTGTTCACAATTTGAGGGGTAAGAAAGAAGTTGAAAAGACAGATCTTGCTGACTAATACAAAGCAAAAAACTAAGCCAAAATCTTAGACAGCCTAGAGCATGGACTGCTATCAAGGCTATATTTGGGTTCAATGATACCTCAAGGTTCATTGACTGCTCTAAGCCCCCAACTAGGGAGGCCATCTGGCATGAAGTCAGTGCTTAAAGTGATTCTACTAAGCAGCTAGGTGCTGCAGTATATAGAGCCCCAGACCTGAAGTCAGGAAGATCTTAGTTCAAATTAGACTTTAGACACTTACTAGCTGTCTGACCCTGGGCAAGTCACTTAACCCCTCTGTCCTGGTTTCCTCATCTGTAAAATGGGAATAATACTAGCACTTACCTCCCAGGGGTTTTGTGAGAATTAAACAAGATAATAATTGCAAAGTGCTTAACATGGTATCTGGCACACAGTAAGTGCTATATAAATGTTAGCTATCATCATCATCATCATCATTATCACCATCATCATTCTAGGAGACTTCAAGTAAAAAGGTATGGAATGGTAGTAAGATTCAAAGGTTGGTAATACATCTAATGCTACCTTTCTTGGTCATCAGTGGCAGGAAAACTCATGCTACTAAAAACTGAACTTAAAATAATCAATTATGACAGGAAAGGGTAGTAGCACTAGAAAAGACAAAGAACCCTCAGATTTTCTTTATTTAGAGGAAGGCTGTCAGTAGAAATGGTTTTTTGTACTTTAATTTAGAAATTCTCTAAGTTTGTAACTGTTCAGTGAATTGTCTAAATCAGAGAATTATTATATTACCTCTTAAGAGTTTACAGCATTTATGTAGAACATTTAATGTGATACTGAGGTTAGCTGTTGGTATCTACTGCTCTAAGTATTAAGGTATGTTCATGTATTAGAGTTATGTTCTTGGAGGTATGTTTTTAGGAAACTACACTATGTAAAAAAGGCTTTTTTAAAAGTTGAATATTTAAATAAAGCCCAATTAAATAGTTACTAAACATCTATTAAATGCAAGTCTCTTTGAGTAACAAAAATATTTTATAAAGGTAAATTCTTTATGACAAAAAAGACTTTTATACTCTTGCAGGTGTGAAGTTAGTTTACAAAATAATGAGAAGAGCTCTATGTTAAAAGTTAAAAGAAGGCTGTTTCTAGACCTGGCTTTACTGCTAATTAGCTACTTGACTATTCACAAAGTTGTTAACCTGTGACACAGTGGTCAATTGCTAACTCTAAGAAATGCCCTGCCAACTGCCTCTATTTTTCCCACTGATGAAAAAAATCAGTACAGCATTGGTAGGTCATTGGCACCATTACAGAGTGCTGTACCTCCATGTACTCATGGAGGTACAGCTGCGGAAAGCTTCTGCTCAAACCTCTTAACCTTGGTTTGGCTGCAGTATTTTGATAACAAAGTATTTCTCCCAAATGTTATGCCACAAGACACATCTATTTCCTTTGAGAATAACTATTTATACAACTAATCAGAGAAGTTAATTCGACAGAAAAATCATCCAACACCATGTAAGAAGATTAAATCATTTTAAGTATCTTTTTTATAAAGATAAAAGTCTTAAGATCAAAAATGAAGTCTCTGCCCTTACTTTTTAAACGATTTTTATAACCAATAAACATGATTTTAGCAGGTTAAAGAGCAAATTGTAAATTTCTTTTGTTTGTTTTAAAAGATAGCTTAAAAATCAACTACCAGACTGCTTTGGTACAGGTACTCCATAGGTACAGATTTAAGATGTACCTATGAAAAGTAAGGATGTTATGAAGATAATATTCAGTCTTATAGTCTTACACTAAGGGTGAAGGCTGTAAAAGAACATGTGGTCAAAATAGTCCTGAAATAACTCCTATAATTCTAGGCAATCTCCAGGTATTTCAAAATTGAACAAGGGCCCTAAGAACTTGAACAAACATTTTAGCCTTTATGGGTCTCAGTTTCCTCAATAAAAAATGAAGAGGTTAGGCTAGAATCCCTCAAGGGTCCCAACCAATTCTAAAACTTAGGATCCAATGCACAATTCCCTAGACCATCCTCTTTTTACCCTTCCAACTCACAACACATATTTAAGAGACCATGGTCTGGAAGCTAACTCTAATTGGGAATAATCTTTTCTACTACATCTTCAGGACTGACTGTAGGATTGAATGTTATGCCCATATAATTACTGTCTTTCGTTTGTTGTCACTGTGTGGTTTGTCCTTAATTCTCTAAGAGGACCATCACATCAGGAAAATGATACCATGACTTGCAAGTGCACTGGATTTAAGTGATGGAGGGCTGTGCAAAGTCAACAGCCTCACTGTCTTCTCTGGAACCATCTGGATCCAGTGGGCATATATAGACCAGGACAACTGGAGATGGCCCAGCCTTCCACTGGTATCCAACAGCCTGAACTGGTTATTCTAGGTCCACTGTGAAACACAGGCTAGGCCTAAATCCTCCCTGTCTCCTTTGATGGGTGGGCAGTGGAAACAGTAACTATGTACTGGTAGGGAAATATTATTTTATATATGTTACCATAAAATTAAATGTCTAAGCCCTCTTTTTCCTAAGTATAAATCATTAATAAACCTCTTGTAAACACAATACATAGGAATGCATACTCTACAAATGTCTGAGACACTCAAAAATATAAAACAAGAGAGTTGCAGGCTTTTACATAGCACAAGATATATAGATATATTATATCACCTAACTTACCAGCAGTAGTCCAGCAGATGTGGCGGAAGCACTGGGATATAGATATGTTGCCAGTACATTGGATATAACAGCGCAGCTGATCCATGAAGGCAGGCAGTTAACTAAAATTTTTTTAAAAGGATGATAATGAATAACTTTTTTAAAAATCAAAATGTCAAGTTCAAAGTTTTCTATGAATGCTAACACTCATAAAACTAAGTATAATAAATATAAAGCAATGTTCAATATTAGTTAACTTTATGAAGAAAATTAAATGATCATATTTACCATCACAAATCTAATGGCAATATGTATTTTGGACACACCTCTTTATACAATACAGAGATAATCAGTTTTCTAGTAAATCTTGGACAGCTTTATCCACTTAAAATATATAACCAAGGGCAAAATTTTCAATGACAAGTAAACATAAAATTAATATTCGGATGAGTATCTTAGTAAAAATCACACACAAAAAAATAAAATGTGTGCATCACAGTTTGCTCATCACTCAGATTAATATTGTGCGATTAAATATGGAAAAGAAGAAGGTCTGAAAGCTCCTGAGGGATATCATTAGGGCAAATTGCCAAAGAATGAAACATGAGCCAGTCAGGAGAATCTGGAAGCTGCAATAATACCAAGGGACTTGATTGTTCGACAGTTGGAGCTTCAGTAATGTGTGAACTGCAGGTTATGGTATCAAGAGACTCTGTTCACTGACACAGAGAATGTCACTATTGACCAATGAACTGCCCAAGCTTGACAGCTATACTACAGGAAGCCAAGTATATCATAACTTCATATTTAAACTGCTCATTCCAGACTAACATTTTGTATTCTATTTTTATGTTAAAACAGCTGCAATTGTATTGTTTCTTCTTTAAAGGTAAATTGAATTTTAATTATTATTTTCTTGTGTAGCAAGCCATTAATTGTTTTTGAATGCTTAACAAAAGAATATCTCCTCCTTATCCCACAATCAGCCTATCATTACACTTCTGTCAAAAATTGCTTTAATTTTCATTGTATAAGAGTTTTATCTACTTATATATAAGATCACTATTTTCAAGTATGTCATGAAATGATTAAATCAGTAATTCCTAATCATTTACTTGTGCTAGGTTTGGGATTTCAAGCCAACTGATTAAACTATTTTATTTCTGTGAAATGAAGCATGAAATTTTATAAAGTATTACCTACACCTATTCTGGAAATTCAATTAATTAAAATCTGTTATTTTAGAATAGAAATGTCATCACTACAAAGAGGTCAATAAAGTTTAATACATCAAAATTTAAAACTACCTTACACACACAAAGAAATCAGAATTATTACTAATATTTTAGGTTCAAGTATAAAATATTTAGTGGATTGTTTATTAAATAAACATATGGGAAGAAATTTTTTTTTATCATTTAGCTCAGCATTTATCTAGACTTGATTTTGAATTTTTTTTTACATCTGAAACGATGCATTTTTATTTTAATTTCATTTGCCGATAATACCATTAATGCTTTTTATATTTCTGCCACAGCAGTTGGAAGCTTTAGCATTTTAATCTATCATATATCTTTATTAAGTATTCTCTTTAAAATACCATTATAATTAGAGAAAGCACCACTAGGAGGCATTCAAATACTTGTGTGTGACTATTACAGATCATGAAATTATTTATGTTCTCTCCACTTGAAGTAGAGAAAAGTCAGAGGATTAGCTGTGATTCTAGACTTCTATTTCTGATTCACTGCATCAAATTCACATACTCCTTAAGTTAGCTCTCAGGTTTTAAATTAAAGCATCTCTAAAAGCTAAATTAATGCTTTCTGTTCTATAGATTATCTTGCCCAATCACTATACTGAGTTGCTATTCTGAAAGGATTAGTATAACTTCCAAAGGCCCCTACCTTTCCTAATTTTTCCAAATAAGTAAACTGTTACAAAGAGGTAATGTATAAAAATCATAGTTAATAGGAAAAAGCTCAGTCTTCTCATCTGCACTAATTTCCTACTCTTAGTGAAAAATGAATATTTGCTAAGCATTCTAGTAAAGTACTTGCCACTATATTAAACATTATCCAGACATTGTCACTATCCTCCTACCTTTATATTTTAAAGGAAGATAATACCTATGTTAGTCATTAATTCCAAACCATGTATTTGATGATTTTCACTCTGATATCTAATAAAGATGTGTAAATTAATGGCCATAACTGGAGTTACACTGACATTGCTAACATTAGCACAGAATTATCCCCATTCATTAAACACAAACCATAAAATATAGCTTCACGCCTTCATTCATCATATCCTACTATTGCTTTACCCAGCATAAGTATGGCTAAGGACCAAGAAAATTATTCTATTAAAATTATCTAGCTGAATGCTTGGCAAAATAAGAGCATATACTAACAAAGATGTTAATTCTCACACATCCACCTAAATAACTGCCAAACCCAATTGTTTTGTGATGAGACTCTATGAATGTCTAAGAAAAAAAATTATTATAGCAAATATCTTGTCAGAAGAAGTAGGAAGAAGGCTTATAAATAATTTGAAATAATAGTTAAAGGAAAGTCATAAATTAATTTGGATATTACCCTTGTAATGAAAACAACAAAGCATGTTTCAAGTATTAATTTAACTGCTCACTAGGGATTTTTCTGATTTTAGGAAACTAGGACATATAAATTATTCTCAAGCGGATTTCAAAATTCTATCTTGAAAATTCACCCTCAAGTACTCTCTAAACATGTCAAATATTTACTACCAGTTTGCTTAGGAATCTGAAATTACTTTATAGAAGTTACACATCCATTAAGAAGGCTCTCAGTACTCAGCATTTTGCATACAAGTCTCCTTTCTTCTGGTTTATATTCATAGCCATTTACCAAGTATTTCTGGTAAATTAATGCAAATGGGAAAACAGCTGTGCATATTTTAGAACTATAGTATGTAATACTAAGGCATTTCACAATTTACATGTGTAAATTGTAATGATTATTTTATAATTGGATTGTTTTGCAAATAACACTTAATGAAATTTTAAAATCATATAAATGTGAATTATAGCATTAATATAGTATAGACCATATAAATGAGTTGGACAAAAAACAACAAAAGTTGAGTCCTGAACTAAATATGATAAAAGTAGGATGAAATGCCTTTAGATAATTGCAAAGCTTTTACTGATCCCCAAGCTGCCCCTGCAAACAAAGGCACATTTTTAATACCAACATCCTACCAGTGTTGCTGTACTAGAGACAGCAAAACAATCTCCAAAACTTAAAAATCAATAGCATATTGAAGGCAAGAGAGAGGTTCAATGTATAATCAATGAGAAACTCAAAGAAAAAAAAATAATAAAATACAACATCAAGGTAATGTATAATGGAAGAGAGGACAGACTGGTCACATGACAAGGGATGATAGGTGGACTACCAAAGTGATCATGGTATAGTGTCATCCTGATGTCAAGAGAAGGGGAAAAAAGTCTCCAGAATGTTGAGTGGATCAACTGTAATCAATTGGCCGTGATCTGTATTGTTGGAGGGAACTTCCATAGATACTATCAAGGGCTCTTTTGGGTTTTAATTCCACAAAAATCAAGGGAAAACTGATCACTTGAAATCTCCTCATCATGCAGAATGACTCAGCTTCCTGGATCCCTCAGATGCTCCTTCTCTCTGATTGGAGGACTCAAGGACAGAGTAATAAATTCCCAAACCCTGCCTTTATTAAAAGGTTCAGAACTTCCTAAGAAACTCTTCATTTCCCACTCTGCTTGGTTCTTTTTTTTTTTTAACATTTTTATTTAAAATTTTGAGTTCCAAATTTTATCCCTCCCTCACTATCTCCCCTCCTCCCTCAGAAAGCAAGCAATCAAATATAAGTTATACATGTGTAATTTCGTAAAACATGTCCATATTGGTCATTTTGTACAAGAAAACTCGAATAAAAGAAAAAAATGAAAAAAAGAAAGTGAAAAATAATAGCATGCTTTAGTCTCTATTCAATCAATATCAGACCTTTTTCTGGGGGCAGACAGTATGATTCACCTTTAATCCTTAGGATCTGCCTTGGATCATTGTATTCCAGATAACAGCTAAGTTCTTCACAATTCTTCATCAAACAATATTGGTGTTACTGTGTACATTATTCTCTGGCATCAGTTCATGTAAGTCTTTCCAGGTTTTTCTGAAATCATCCTGCTTGTCATTTCTTATATCTGCTTGGTTTTGACTCCATGAAAATTATGCCCCTGTGGTGGGGACTCCCTGGTTTCCCCTCACCCCTTTACAATTTCTTTTTTTGTATTATTTGCCCCCATTAGATTGCAGCTTTCTTGAGGGCAGGAACTCAGATTCTGTTTCTTATTTGCATGCAAAGCACTTAGCATAGTGCCTGGCCAATAGTAGGTGCTTAATAAATGTTTACTGAATTTAAAAAGAGATGATATAATATATCTGTGTGCATATTAGAATTAGTAAGAGAGTGTCAAATCATATACACTAACTCTAAACCAAGCCAATTTCACATAGCACCTACTCACACATAAAACACCAAATAAGTGCAAGCTTCTATTATTGTTGTTGCTATGATTATCCTTACTACCTATATTCTAAAGCTTTTTGGTACCAGCTGACAATGGATTGGGAGTGAGGAAGAACTGAACTGAGTTAAAATCCTGCCTCTCAGACATTTACTGTGTGACCCTGGACAAGTCACTTAACCTATCTACTTCAGTTTCCTCATCTACAAATGGTGATAGTAATAGCACCTACTTTTCAGGGTTGTTTTGAAGATAAAATGAGATAATTTACATAAAGTACTATACGAACCTTAAAGCATTATATAAACATAAACTATTATTGTTGTAGCTGTTGTTGTATTCCTGGTTAACACAGGCCTGGCACACAGTAGATGTATCACTGTTATTATCATCATCATTGTCAACAGTATTTATATGGCACTTCAAGATTTGCAAAGTGCTTTAAAATACTGACTTATTTTATCCTCATAACAACCCTGGGAGGTAAGTGCTGTTACTCTTTTTTGTTATACATGAGGAAATTAGCCCCAAAGTAATTAAGTCAGTTTTCTGAGACTACATACATAGTTT